GTTGCCTACAGCCAACTGCAATGTTTTTACTTGTTTCTCTTTTTTTGTTTGCCCGCCGACGCTTTGCATAAATTCAAAAACAAAACTTTTTAGCTTCTACAAAATATTGTGTATATATATATACAGAAAAAAGAGTAACTAGTCTCACGAAATAGGAATATTCTGCATAAATCTCTATACATACAGAGAGAGAGAGAGAGAGAGAGAGAGAGAGAGAGAGAAAGAGAGACCACAAGAAGCAGATCTCTTTGAAAAGTGCATCCCTTCAAAACTCGAGTCGTCTCAGCTAGCTGATATGCCCATTGCAAGAGTATTTATGAAAATAAAAAATAAAACCAGCTTGGTATAATAAACAATAGGATTTTAATTAAATTTATGTGCACAAATTGCCTGCATAGTCACAGCAAAAAACGAAATATATAACCATCAACAATAATGGAATGCAGCAGCAGCAGCAGCAGCAGCAGTTACTTTAAAGGAATAAAAACAAAACCCTACGCAAAAACAACTAGTTGAAGGCTTCGTTTTTGTTAGCCAACAAATTTTGCTGTTGTCGACAGTTTGAATGCAAAATATTTGAAGAGATTTTCATATTTTATAGAATTTATTTATACATTTTTTTGTTATTTGATTGGCTTAAAGACGAGTTAGGGCTATTTATTTGTGCATACATTTTTGTCGTTGATTCTCAATTTAGTGCTCAAGCTACATTTGTCTATAAGTGAAACTTGACTCGCTTTGGCAAGCTTTTGACCTTAATTATGTTCCTTAAGGCATGCTGATATCAAATGTGCAGCGCCTTTGACGTGCAGCGACAGACAAGAGTCAGCTTACGGCAATGCATCATTATTAAACAAGCTGAGTGCGCAGCCAGTTGCAATTTCTTGCTGCATTCAACTTGAAGCCTTTCAAGGAAACTTCACTCAACAGCCAAGTGCACACACAGAGAGCTATATAAATGCATATATATGTATGTGTGTATGTCTGTTAAGAAACCTGTTCATAATTACCCAGCAGATTACACATTTCGCCTAACAAGGCCCATTCATTAATGTCATCAAAAAGAGCAACAGCAACAGCAGCAACAGCAGCAACAGCAGCAGCAACGTCTGCAAATCTGCAACATTTTTGTTGACACACCCAGCGGCCAAGCGGCAAACGGACCACGTTAATGACCCGCCTCCAGCCCTGCTCACTAACAGCGCTGCAAGTCCGTGCAAATGCCATAAAGCCGAAAATAAACAGAAATGGAGAGCAGCGAAAAGAAACAGAAGCCGAAGCAGAGGCAGCCACAGCCAGGACGTGCTTCTCGGCTGATGTTGGTGACATGGCTTTTTAGCATGAAAACCCAGTGTAACACACACACACACAGCTATACAGAGTCACACACAGTCACATTTTGCGCTAGTTAAAATTTCCGAAAATTTGCCACTGCAGGTGTAACCAATTTGATAGCATTCCAGCTTCTGCCTCGAGCTCGACATTGAAGAGCCGAGTTGTTGCATGCCAGAAGCTAGCAGCAGCAGCAGCAGATCCACTCGACACCACTCACGACCCACCTACACACACACACACACACACACACACACACACCTACAGTCAACACTCGAGCTTGTCACAGAGCAAAAAAAAAAAAGTTGAGCGCAGTTGCTGGCATTGCCATGCCACAGCCTGGTGCCCACTCGGTTTGGTTTGCTTAGCTGGCAACGTGTTGCCACGATTATGGCTAAAATCCAAACCAACTCCATTTCGGTGCAGGCAGGCAACAATGCAGCCAAACAGGAAATCAACCTTATCATCATTTTGATGATCTATTGCAACAAGACCTCAACGTTGCGTGAGCTTTATGATTCAACTCTCTCTCTCTCTCTCTCTCTCTCTGAATGTCTCTCTCTCTCTCTCTCTCTCTCTCACTCTGTCGCAGTGTCTCTTATAGCTCTTGCAATTGCATTTACTACCACAATCCTACAGCATTATTATCCACTCGTTGCTGTTGCTGCTGCGTTTGTTGACTCTTCAAATGCAACATTCTGCACATTACACATACGTCCCGTTGGCCTGCTAACTTTTATTGCCTGCTCGCTACGTTAAGTCGAATTTATGTTGATGTCGCTGCAGCTTCAGTCACATTTTTGGCCAGCGATTTAATTGACGCTCGTTGGTCTGTCGCCAGTTTCCAATTTTTAACTTATCATTCGCAATTCCCTCTCTACTACATATATATATGCACTCAAAAAAGTTGTGAACTTTTTTCTTCTCGCCTCACATGTGACTGGGATTTGGCGCCGCTCTACGACCTATATTATTTCCCTTCCGAGTGCTCAGAGTCAGCTCAGCTCAGCTCTGGCGTGGTCTGGCTTGGTCTGCTCTAGTCCATTTTGTTTTAATGGCCAGAACCTAAGCACATCGCACACATGTGCCAAAATATGTGAATTGTGAACAAGTTGGAGCTTTTATTTTGACACATGACGCGACGAACGGTCGGACTGACGGACGGACAGAGTGAAATGCTATGAAATGTTTTTGCCATATGCCCGAAACTCTGAATAAACTTTAGCAGTTATTGAACACATACAACCAAACAGAGAGAGAGAGAGGGAGAGAGAGAAAGGAAGAAAAAGATAGAGAGTGAGTAAGTGAGAGGGGGAGAAATAAACTGTCATGAGTTGGATTAGTGCAACAACATTGAGTAGCAGCTGTGCTCCGTCGCTACTTCAACTCCGCCGCTCAGCCAGAAATCGACACAAACGAAATATTTTCATTTTAAAACATTTTTATTTACTTTTTATTTAAATCGCTCATAATGCGCACTCAAAAA